ATAACATTTGTGGCAAATGCTAATTATAGCGCAAAACATAGTGGAAAGAAATGGAAGAAGGGTGGTAAGAAACCTCAGATGGTCAGCCAATCCCAACCCTTGACAACAAATAATGCCAAAACGATGAACAGACTTAGTAAGACCAGTGATGGTGTGAAAGGTTTCAATGGCATCTGTTTTCGTTGTAATAAACCCGGGCACATTGGTAAATTTTGCCCAGTTTTCCCTGACATGCCAACCACGACAAATGGCAAAACAGAGACCTTCTTTGCAAATACTCAATGCAGTGCGTTTGCTTGTCAAGAAGATGATTGTGGCCGAAATGTGTGGCTTAAAGACGATGGAGCTACAGCACACATTACAAATTCAGCCGAGTATTTCAAGACGTACCATCACTTTGACAAACAAGCAGAAATCACAGTCGGTAACAAACAGACAATACCAGCATATGGCTGTGGGGACATTCACATGTGTGCGATGGTTGGAAACGTACAAAAATCTATTGAGCTCACTGATGTACTGTATGCACCAGAAATTGGCAAAAATTTGTTATCAGCTTCAAAGGCAATGAAGTGAGGAATCTCGAACTTTGGTAATTCAGACAATATAATTTGTCATTTCTTTCGCAAGGAGACCCCAGATAGTATACTTCTAGAAGCCCCATGTTCATCAAATGGACTCTTTGAACTACGTGCAAAACCAGTCAAGCCACAAGGGGGTTCTGCTGCCGCAGCCTACTTGGTTGACAACGAAATGACAACTTCTTTTCCTGAGACAATAATGAAGACGAGGACAAAATTGCCATTATCACTTTGGCATCGGCGACTTGGGCATCAAGGAATACAGTACGTGAAACAGTACTTGAGCCAAAATGGTATAGGTTTTATCGATGATGGACTATTTTGTGAGCCATGTACATATGATAAACAAAGTCGACGAACATTTAAATCAAAATGATTCAAAACACAAAAGTCTGGTGAGATAATACATGCAGAGTTACTCGAATCGCCAGTCTTATCAAAGGTGGAAAGAAGTACATGTTAGTGATTAAGGACGATTACTCCAAGTTTTGACATGTGGATTTTCTGAGACATAAAGACGAGGCTGTGGATAAAATCAAGAAGTTTCTTATTCGGACCAACAAAGATGGTATAAATGTAAAAGAACTGGTCACAGATGGTGGTCGTGAGTCTGACAATGATAAATTGGTGAAACTGACTGATGATGCAGGCATCAAGCTGCGAATCACTATGCCATATACACCAGAACAAAACGGATTGGTTGAAAGAGAGAATCGTACAATAATGAATGCAGTTCGCACTATGATCAAGGATTCAGGCCTACCACAGTTCCTATGGGCAGAAGCAGCATCTACAGCTGTCTACGTTCTCAATCGAACCGGACCAAGTAAGACTACGGGAAAATCTCCGTTTGAGGAATGGTTTGGACGCAAGCCGGCAATCAACAGAATTCGAGTTTTTGGATCAGCTGCATTTGTACATGTACCAAATGTCAACAGAGGTAAATTAGATGACAAGGCTATAAAGGGCTATTTGGTTGGTTATTGTGATGACGATGGGTATCGCATTTTCATACCATCAAGGAATGATACGATAAAAAGTGCCAATGTAGTGTTCAATGAACAGCAAATCGGCCCTACTTCCCAACCTTCAAAATTAGCATCTAACACCGGTCTATCAAGCGGTATGAAGTTTATTTTGGAAGATGCACACGATGATGCAGACACACAGGGGGCTGGTGATCTGTGCACTGATGAAGATGAACCAACACAGATGACTGCGCGAGTACATTGCGAGACCGTTCACTATCCAACGGCCTGTCAGATTTAATGACTATGACGTGTATAACAGCATTCTGAAGTTGGAAGAGTCTAAAACATATGACGAAGCAACGAAGTCTCCTGAATACGCCGACTGGAAATGAGCCATGGACGAAGAAATGGCTTCGCATGCCAAACATGGAACATGGCAACTTGTTGAGCCACCTAACGGACGTAAAATCCTCGACAATCGCTTGGTTTACAGAGTGAAGACAAATCCCGATGGCTCAATCGAGAGATTCAAGGCCCGTTTAGTAGCAAAAGGGTACACCCAGACGGTGAATATCGACTACGAAGACACATTTAGCCCGGTGTGTCGCTATGACACTATTCGAGCTCTAATTGCAACGGCAGCCAAGGAGAATCTCAACTTATATCAAATTGACATGGAGATGGCATTCCTTTACGGTGACCTATCTGAGGAGATCTACATGTATCAACCCGAAGGCTATAATGATGGAAGTAAGCGTGTATGCAAGATGCTTCGACCTTTATACGGCTTGAAACAAGCTGAACGATGTTGGAATGCCAAGTTTACTGACGTACTGAAGAAACATGGCATGATACAAAGTACATCCGACAACTGCCTGTTTATACGAAATGGTTATGGACATAAGATGCAGATGGCGATTTATGTTGATGATGGCATTGTCACTGTTCAGGGCAAAGCAGCATTCTTCACATTTATGGACGAGCTCAAGCAACATTTTAACTTTTGAGTAACAACATTAAATTGTTTTCTTGGTCTACAAGTTGAACGTTTGAAAGATGGCTCACTCTTCCTGTACCAAGAAGCATTTACAAGAAAGATATTAGAGTGAAGATACTAAGACATCACACATCCCAGTAAAGAAGTCGAGTCTCAAGGTCGACTATGGTCAACCAAATGACGATGGCATGATCAAGATCAAGGAGGCGAAGCCTCTCAGCAGTGAAATTTCATACCGATCAGTAGTTGGCAGTTTGCTGTACTTGGCAATGGAGATCTGACTGGATATTGCTTATGCACTGAGTTTGATGTCTCGAAAGCTGAACAATCCTACAGAGATTGATTCGGAAATCATACAAACAACATTAAGGTACCTTCGCAATACCGTAGGACACGGCATTGTGTACAATAATGAAGATGATAGAAGTTTGATGTTGTTTAGTGATGCAGATAACAACAGCTGTGCAGAAACACTCAGGTCTCGAACAGGTGTTATTTCTTTCTATGAATGATAATCAGAGTACTATCAAGTACATCAAAAATCCAACGTTCCACGCACGCACAAAACACATTGACCAAAGGTACAAGTTTGTGCAACATAAGTTCTCAAAGGGACATTTTCAATTAAGCTATGTCAGAAGTAATTAACAACGAGCAGACATTCTGACGAAAGCGCTTCCAGCACCGCAGTTTCATTTCCAGAAGTTTACTGACGTGCTGAAGGAACATGGCATGTTACAAAGTAAATCCGACAACTGCCTGTTTATACGAAATGATTATGGACATAAGATACTGATGGCGATTTTCATCATTCTAAAAAGTTGTCATGTAAACAATAAAACGTACATAAGTTCTCTTTACTTTTTTTGTTAATAAAGTTCAAAATTCAATTAGCCATCACTCTGTTTGTTAACTTTATAACAGAAATGAATTTAATAGATATATGTGAGTGTGTATTAGCATGTTTTTGTATTAAATTCCAACTTAAATAGCTTGACAAATATGAAAAAAACACAAATATAGTAAAAGCCCAACTACATTACATTTAACTAACTAATACCTCCCTCCCCCTCAAAAAAAAACATAATAAATAAGAGATTTGTATATTATTATATGCCATTATATATGCCATATGTATATGCCATTATAGAGTTCATAATACTATTAGTACATATACATTGTTTCCAAACAGTATGATTTAATGCTAATAATGGATAAGCATGACAGCACAAATACTCATAAGAAGTTTGTTTTTATTTAATCTAAGCTTAATTAATCCTCAATAAAACGGTTTAATATTTGAAATGAAGGATATAAGTTCTACCTTCTTAGGGCATTTTGGAAGAAAGATTAATAATTGGGATAGAGTGAAATATTTTCAACGTTAGAGGTTCCAGGCATCCACGGCCAGCATCCGAGCGTGTGTTAGCAGTGTGGATGCAACAGGTGGCAGAATTTGGGGACAGCAAAGATTAAAATTTATGAAGGAATACGACGACAGAATTTTGGAGTTGTGGAGTTTGCACCAGATGGCATTAAGTCTAGTGCCGGCTCTACAGGCATCGGGGGGAGGAGCCATGATATGCAACTTGAAAGTGGATAAACAATGCCAATATGAAAAGCGATTTAAATTTTTAATATACTTCCTCCTTCATCTGCATCTGTTCATTATCTAAATAAATAAAGAACAATCTGTTTATTTAAACTTCTGTTGCAGAGACTGACAACATCTCTATCAACTTTCATATTCAGCGAGATTTCAAATTCTGATCAGATGTTTTACTTTCATGTTTAAGTCTACAAATAAATCAAATTTTATGCCTGAAATGCATGCTTTCCCTTGCAAAACCTTACATAATTTTAAATGCAGGCTTTGATATTTAAGTTGGTAATACAAAAAATAATTATTTTTATACTCTAGAGGAGAAAATTTTCCCATCTTATCCAACGTGAATCCCTTTTTTATAAGCTCAACTGATCACAATTTTCCTGCATCCAGAATAATTCAGCATTCACTGGGCTTTCTGTTTATTTGAGTTTTACTGTTACTACTTACTAACTGAAAGATCGCAAAAGAATAATTAGGATGCAAAACCACAAGCACACAAGAAAAGCAGCTCAGCAGAAATGAACAAAGAAAATTAGACTGCGCAAAGTTCTGCCCTTTGCACTTATAAAAGAAGAAAGAATTTGTGTACATAGTTTTAAATTCGATACACTATTTGTGTACAAATATATTATGCAAAATAAATTTAAATTAAAAAATTATGCAAAATAAAAGTATTTAAAAGTATAACAGCAATTTTAAAATAAGGAATTTGTCAACACAGATATAAAATTTTTACCACCCCAAGTTACATTAAATTTATTTTACAATAGTTAGTCCTAGATTAATTAAAAACAACTTATTAAAAGAAATAAATTATATTCAGACATTAAAAGAGAGAATACCAATGGCCATCCAACAGTGTGCTCAACTGTTCCAGGCTTATGTTTAGATGGTTCAACTTCCCATATTTCTTTCAAACCAATGGCATATGTTTGTGGTTCACAGTTGGCTCTTAAATTAAATTTCTTATACAATTGTTTGCTTAAATGACCATGACATCCTTCAGCAAATATAGTACACTTAGCATGAAGCTCCATTCCTCTTTCAAATGATTCCTGCAAAGTATATTATATGAAAACAAGAAATAAACATTTAAATGCCGATTACTAGAATACACATTAAATTTTCACTAAATTAGAATATTAACAAAAATTTATTAATACATTTATAAAAAATTGTCAAAAAATTTTATCAAACATTCTGACTGTTACATCATTAGCTAAACCTATGCACCTCATCCCTCTAGCGGCATTTTTTGTATATACTTAGAAGAAGAATAAAATTATTCATTAATGGAATACAGTCCATACACAGTGGTCCGTCAAGCCGGAGATCAGGGCCCATTCAAAGCAGGGAAAATAAAATGGATAAATTAACGCAACTATATCACCAAAGAGGCATGATAAAAAGCAAAATTACGAAACTGGAAAAGTTCGTGAATAATGTCAAAGAATCCGAAGGAAGTTCAGTTGAATTAGAAGTAAAATTAGAGAACGTCAAGGAACTAAAAGTTGGCATGACTCACCTCTACAACGACTACTACTGCGTTGATGAAAAGCTAGATATTGATGAAAGCTTAAAAAGTATGGAAGAGCTGGACTCATCCCTGGATAATGTGGAAGTAAGCATTTATAACTTTGTATGAAAGCTAAAACTACCAAATTTACAGTGCTGGATTGACAGACAGACTTACACAGGTGGTTAACTAAATTATTAGGCTTAAAAAGATAACACACATAAAAGAAAATTTATATAAACTGTTTTTCTGTCATAATAGCGTTATATCCTACACATTCATCAAGATCTCCTCAAGTAATTATATAATTCTTCTTAATTTTTACAGCTGGTATTCAAGTCTTGGACTTTCCATTATGATTTTAAGTATCAAAATTTATAGTATTTGAAATACAAGAATTTATGTAATATAAGTAACTACGTGGGCATTTGCACAGCCACTATTTAAAAAAATAAAATTCAAAATTTGATAAATATAATTTTTAATATTCTTTATATCAAACACAAATTTTCTTTTACCTTTGGAGACCCATCTTTTGAAATACCAACGTCATTTGTTGCAATACCTTTGACACTCCCATCTTCATGGAATAAGACCTTGTAATATAATACAATAAAATATAGCAAAATACAGTATGTATATATTCATGTGATGATTTAGATGTTGAGAGAGATACTTGTAGTTCATGTCCACTTGAGCAACTCCTTTCTTGTTGACATATGCAGCACAGATAAACTGGTGCTAATCATATCTGTAACCTAGAGTCTTCTAGCAGAAATAAAAGGGTTACAGTCCACCTCAACATGGTGTAATTTCATTTGTTCTAACCAGAATCTATGCAGAAACACCATGCTATTGGTCCGCCTATAGCGGAGACTTTTTGTGTAAATGTTCCCATAAAAAAGGTAGCTAGCTGATGAATCTACAGTGGTAAGTTGTGTTTTCAGCTATCTTAAGCATGAATCAGGAAGATTTGTTAAAAAAAAGAGAGTATTAAAACTGCGAGTAATGAAATGTAGGGATAAAATTAGCATACAAGTGCATATGAATTACTTTTAGATTAGTATAATGTATTTAGTAGTGAACTAAAATTTGTGATCAGTTGTGTGAAGTGCAAAGAAAATGGTATTGAGAAGTATGTTGAGGAATAATTTAACATTCAAGAGAACCTAGATGATGGAATCTTAAAACTAAATAGAAAATCCTCAGCTGCAAAAGCACAAAGGCACTTTTGCAGAGGAGGATGATGGTTCGGTAAAACCATTGAAACTAGTCCTGTGAAAATTTAAAATATAATGTTGATTTTTGTTGTTTGACTTCTAAATTAATACTTGTTTGACATGTTACTGTACCTTAACGTACTCATAATGTTCAAGATGATTTTGAGCTGGTTGTTAAAATGAGGCAAATGCTTAGAAAAGTGGGTTTGAACTCCACAAGTGGTCCACTAATGAAAAGTTAGTGCTAGAAAATGCAGACATAAGGAGTTCAACTAAAGATAAACCTCATATAATTGTGAAAAATAAGGCTATAAATGTTCTTGGCCTATAGTGGGATCCTAACAATTTTTCTGCAATTTTGTGATGTTGCATTCTCAAAAAATTCAAACAAAATGAATCATATTAACCTCAATAGCAAAAGTGTTGTATCCTTTCAGTTGGATTTCCCCTTTTGTCATATCAACGAAAATTCTTCAAGAACTTTGAAAATTTAAACTTGCCTGGGATGATCCAATTCCAGAAGAGATTGTGAAAAAGTGGAGGATTACATGTAAAGAAATTCAACACTTAAATTTAATTCGAATTCCAAGAAATTTTCTGGTACCTGAGCATTTGAAAATCCAACTGCTTGGTTTCTGTAATGCATCGGAGAAAGGTTATGGTGCAGTTAGTTATGTTAGGTCATCTAATGACTCAGCTGTTCATAATGTCTGAACCTAACCAATAGCAACTATTTGTAGCACACTGAGTGTCAGAGATTCAGGCTACTGGTCCAGTGGAAAATTGAAATCACATTCAAGGAAAGGATCTGATTGTGCATCATGGGGACTTTATCCAAGTAATTTGTTAGTTCATAAGCTTTGGTGGAATAGCCCAAAGTGGTTAAAGACAACAAAATTTCCATTTTGTTAAAAAATCCCAAATTTTGAGGAAGCTTTGAAAGAAGAATGGAAGCATCCTTTATGCGCAGTTGGAGTAAATAAATATAGAAGAGTTACCAGGAATTTCAAACATCTTATCTTTCACAAAACTGCAGAGTGATTGTGTGATGTCTGAGATTTATCAACAACGCCAAATTGCCACTGGCAAGAAGGAATAAGATTCCTAACTACGAAAGAGTTAGAATACAGCATATCATATTTTGTTAGACAAGTTCAAGAGGTAAGTTTGTAAATACATTATTTTGTACTAAACAATTAACTTAAATTTAAATTTGTTAAAAAAAACTTTGCTTTCCTTTCTGATTTCAATTTTCTGTCAGAATACAAATTTAAATGATATATATGCAAATCAAATGAATTCAGAAATAGTATTTAAAAAGCAGAACTTGAGAGTTAGGGGTAGGAGGATTAGTTCTGAATTTATGCAGCATGTTTGAAAGTAGCTCTGTAGCTGAATATTTTGTGCTAGCCATTTACTTTAATTTATATTGATATTCTGGACTTGGTTTTGCTGTTTTGATTGAATAGTAGCCAGTCATGTAGCTAAAATTTAATTCATTGAGACTGTACATACTATATTGTGTTCAAGTTATTTAGCCTCAAGTGGTGGGTAATTTGTGAGCACTAAGTGAGTGCATGTTCTGTTCAGTTTAGTAAAATAAAAAGGTCATTATAACCTTCATCTGCAGTCATCTTTTTTTTTTTTTTTTTTTATTCAATAAATAATGAGAATTTGCTAAAGAACACGAAGATTCTACAAGTTTTTCTTCTGAGCTTAAAAGTATTAAAGCAGAAAAACCATTACCTACAAATTCTTGCATTCTCTCTGCTTTGTCAGCTGCGCTTTCTTAATTCAGATGTTAGCCATGTAAAAATTTATTAAAGAATGAGTGTGCTTAAAACCAGTTTATCTGTGGCTGCATATGTCAATAATAAAGAAGTTGCTCATCAGGCCGTGATTGCAAGTATCTCCATCTTCACCACCTAAATCATCTCGCACACATAAAAGATAAAAAATACGTAAATCAAAAATCTAACTTTATTTTGATAATAGTCCCTCAATTCTCTGTTTTAATTTGGTTATTTCCCTTTTCTATTGAAAAAATAATAATTGCTTCTTGAACTAGGTCATTTCAAAATTTATCATTCTCATATAATTCTCGTATAATGCTAATGATGCAGGTACTTACATAAGGTTTCAGCCAATAATGGTTTCTAATTTCAGAACCAAAACTTTAGTATGAAAGAAGAATAAAGCTAAACTGAAGCTTAATCAATCTGAATTAAGCTTCCATCAATCAATTATCACACATCAAATTCTTTCTCTCTCTTTGTAGTTGCCAACTTGTTATTGCCTGTTACTCTGTGTTCTGCATATATATTAAAATCTATAAGGTATTCTTGTAGTTCTTCAACAAGAGATACACTATTTGTACTGAGTTGTTTGTGGCTGCATGTGTCAACAATAAAAGAAATGGTCAACCAGCCTGAATGACTGTTATTATTTTTATGCATTAATATCTAAATCATTATATATATAACAGAAAGAATATTATATGCATATATTTCAATTCTCATTCTTAAACAGCACGCAAACTTCAGGATCCTATGCATATTTCAACACTATCAAAAGTATGTAGAGATATACTTTGCATTGAAAACATTGGGCTGTTTTTGGAAAATATAGTTCGCGAAACTAAATTCTGTTTGAATTGCATAGCTGTATCATAAAATAATAAGAATGGCTTCAGTTAAAAATATCTCCATCATAATATGATAATAATGCATAAGTTAATAGCTTTTCCCTCTCATATATACATTAAAAACACCAAAAATTTAGAATTCAAGCAAGATTAATGAAATGAAAAGGCACACAAAATGTAAATTTAATTACAGCTAAGGTGTCTTAGTTTGGCATATCTATCAACAAAATATTTTTGAACATTTTGAATACCAGTATGTAGTTTTGTAAGTTTTCAAATCAAAGGCATTTTGATATAAATCTGCAGGGTTGGAAAAATCGTTTGAGACAAAGAAGTAATTAAGAAAAACATTTTCTTCTGTACTTTTACACTGCAAATTTAATGAAGAGAATTATTTTCTACTATGTTTTATTAAATGCATCAAATTAAGAAGGTATGAAAGCAACAGGATTATGCATTTGATTACTGTAGAGAGATTAATATTCACTAACAGAATTATTATAAATTTTATGTTTTTTCGCTCATAAAACGCTTTTATATTCAAAGACAGATATCTAACTGTTTCGAAAATGTTCCTAAAACAAAAGTTTTAATAAATTCTGAATTATTTTCGTCTATCATTACAAACTAAAAAACAATACGAATTTTTCAAAAGTTCCTAATACAGAAGAAAGTCTCTATTGGAATTCTACAGTTTTCGAACTTCAGTTTTGACAAAACACCTCATATGTATAATTTACACATCCATAAAACTACAAACTCAGTTTTCTTACATTTTAACCATCTCTATATTTGAGTAGGAAAATATCATAAAAATATTTCAATTGGAAATTCTCAATTATAATAACTATATACAGCAAAATGAAATACCAGTTGCAGATGTTCCCCTCTCTATTCTGTTGGAAATACACTTCTGACAGATTTGTAGAAGTAGTTAATTTACTGATAAACACTAGTCTTATTAGCAAACTACAGAAAAGAGACATCCTTGTTATGATTATGAGTGAAATGATAATGAAATACTAAAACACCATCAGAAAAAATAAATATTTAAAATGCACTTAGTCACAGAAATTTATATCCACATCATATATAGATCTAAATTTATATCAGAAATGCCTAAATAACTCATGAGAAAATAAGATATTTACCTCACTAGCTGCATATCCAGGATAAATCTCAACTCCTAATTCTTCAGCCTGTTGACCAAGCCATCGAACTACATTTCCTAATCTCACAATGTAGTTACCATGATTATACATAGGTAAACCTATCAAATTAAGTTACATTACTTAAATTAGGTTCAGAATACTATATTACAATATTGGTATCATTATTCGGTAATAATTATAAAAATTTCCAAATCTTGAAATAAAAATACACACATATTTTTTCCCCTCCTAAAAACAATAAAAAGCGAAATACATTTCAAGCAAAAATTTCAAGCAATTAAAATTTTATTTTTGTATTTTCTAAATCCTTCTTTTTGCCGAAAACTTGACTTGCATATTCATTCTTATTTAGTTTATTGTACAAATTTTAAAGAATATAGAATCAAGAAGAATTGAGAAATTTTTTAAAAAAATTTATACTTGTTACTTTAGAGAAACTCGAACAGATTACATAATCTCACAGGAAATGAGATTTTTTATGCATAGAAAACTGCATTTAATTTAATTTATAAATCTAAATGAATTATAAAACATTATGAGAAATTTCTTTAAAAAAAAACTCGTTACCTTTAAATATGGGAATCGGGATCCTTTTCTTCTCTGTTAAGTAGGCAAATTTATCAGATTTAACAGCTGTTTTTATAGGTGCCTGTAGAAATAATTATAAGAAAAAGTATTACAAATATGAACAATCCTTCCATTTCAATAGCTCCTAAAGTAAAAATCAACAGAAAATTGATGCAACAATTACCAGAAATCAATAATTTGCTACAGTTTTGTTACAGGTATTGTATTAAAAAAAAATGCAATGTTTTTTTTTTTTTTTTTTTTTTTTTTTTTTTTTTTTTTTTTTTTTTTTTTTCTCCATTGGAAATATTTTGATGTGCAAATCTTTGGGGAATTTCTTACATACACATAATTCAGAACAACAATTTCCATAAATGTAATCATTAATTAAAACTAAATTTGAACAGTATAACATCCTAGATTTCTCTTATTTTTTTGGATTAGTCTAATACTGTAGCAATTAATGATGATGAGGAAAAGTAAACTGTCAATATTGTTTATAGCTAAAATTTAATTCCTGAAACTTCCTATTTTCAAAATGAACATCTTTACATGCATTAAGCTAGAACAACATTTTTTTACTCTTTCCCAAAATTTTCATTGAAGAAACTAAATTCCTTAATATATTAAAAAAAAAAAAATAAATAAATAAATAAATAGATACATGCAACTATTACAACAGCAAAAATTTACCGTTAGAAAACATACATTGGAATTGAACATGCTATTCCAAAGCAAATTGTTAGATGATTCCCAAAATATGAGTAAAGAACAGTACACATACCCAAACATTCTGTAAATGTTTATGCAAAAGATGAATAAAAACATGATATGATGCAAGGTTGTTTGGAAGCCTATTTTCAAATAACCCAAGAATCCAAAGTAACTAAAATCTGACTTAACTAAGATAAAACATATAAGCATCATCAGAAAGTACCATTTTTCTAAGAGTAACTGATTTATATGTGTTATATAAAAGGACATTTGCATTGTTGTTAAAACTGCATCAATATAATATAATGACAATTTTGCATACAATGAGTACATAAATTAGTTCATTCCTAATTTTTCATCTCAAAACTGCTTTTCTAAAATTCAAATTATTAAAGATCAAGACATCAAAACTTATATAAATATATACCCATTAAAACAATAAATAAACACTCATTAAAACAACAATAAGTTTTAATAAAACAAACAGTACCCCTCTTTCTTTCCAATCTGGAATCAAAGTGTCCAGTGCTTGAGTTTCGATACATGCTCCTGATAAAATATGTCCACCTATACGAAATGAAAATAGAATATTAACTAAGAAAATTATGTTATTTCTGAAACATAAATAATTTGTAAAAATAATTTTGCATGTTTTCTTTTAAATATTTTATAAAAGAAATACTCTTAAACATTTGAAAGCAAGCTGATCGGAAAATAATGGCTAATATCATGCAAAAGCTAAACAGATCTGGCATTATGCAGAAAATAAAAGTTTAGGTTTGTTCTGTTTAGTTAAACTAATATTTTAATACTTGCTTTTGATCAATCAATTTTTGACTAAAAATTCTAGAAATAATACTGTATAAGTCTATACAGTACTGTATAGACTTATACAGTATCATTTCTAGATCTTTTCTGAAGTGAATATACACTCTATATAAATAAAAAAATAAATAAAAAAAAAAAATCGACACACCAAGAAGTTGCTGCCCGATAGAGAAAAAAATTGGTGGAAGATTATGTGCTGAATAGAAAATGATAAAAATTTCAGAAGAATTGAATGATTTATTTTAAAATTACGTAGTTACAAAGTAACGAGCTCAATAAGATGTTGACCCACCTCTGGCCTGGATCCAAGCTGCCTCGTGGTGTGACATATACTATAGAACTCCCGCTGTATTTCTTGCCAAATTTGCTCCGATTGCAGGTCATCAACATTCCCTGATAGATGCAGTCGCCTACCCATCACATCCCAGACATGCTTGATGGGAGAGAAATCTGGTGATCTGCCTGGCCAAGAAAGTGTTTGACAAGCTGTAAGACAGTTCATAGCAACACGTGCCATATGTTGTTTGGCATTACCTTGCTGAAAAATAAGGCCAGGGTACTGCAAAAGGAACGGTAGCAAAACAGGCCTCAGCATGTCGTCAATGTACTGCTGTGCTGTAAATGTGCCTCAAATGGTTACCAAAGGGGTCCAGCTATCAAGGGAAATGGAATCCCAGACCATAACTCCTGGTTGAGGGCCTGTGTGGAGTGCAATAATGAAATCATTATCGGCATGCTGCTCCGAGCATCTCCAGACACATCTTCGATGATCGTAACGACACAGTTGGAAGCGGGATTTGTCGCTAAAGACTACACGTACACGTCCTCAGTCAGCATCATTCCAACCTGATCGAGCCAAGCACCACTGTAATCTTGCTCGACAGTGTGCAGACTGGAGTGGCAGGTGGCGTAACGGTCGGTACGAGCATATATTTCGCTCTATCAGACATTTGTGAATGATCATGGTGAACACTCATATGCGGGTAGCACGTCTGATGGTTGATAGTGATGAATCAGGCACTGTGACAGCTGATCTTACAATCATTCTGTCCTACAGATCTGTTATGGCCCTAGGTCGACCGCTACCATCCATGACGCTGAAATCTGCCATTATCCACCCATTCTTGCCAGCATCTTCTAAATGCCACATCGCTTCGACTTATATGACGAGCGATTCTCCGATTTGTACAAGCTGTGTCTTTCAATCTAATGATATGACCTCTTTCAAACTCTGACAGTTGCTCATAATGAGCTCGAATCCTGTGGCGAGGTATTTTTGCAATTGTTAACCCTTTGCGGCATAGTGTGTCCGATCTGGACACACCTAAAAATTTCCTTCTGTACGCACAGAAAAATTGAATGAAAAAAGATTTATAAGTTACTATAGGTTACTCTGAACCTTCTTTATTTACAGTAGATGGCAGCTCAATTTTAGCCATGTTTATTTTTTAAGACCCTCATTTTTCAAAGAAATCTTCCAGATTTTTTTTAGGGTATAAAAGGAATTGTTTGAAAATAAATTTTTATGTTATTTTTTGGCTGTATACTAATCTCCTTATTCTATATTAGTTTTAAATTTTTACCTTGAAATCTTGTCTAAAATCAAACGGCAAATCCTAGGTGTGCCCAGGCCGGGCTCATCGATAATCTAGAACAACTGAGAGTCTGTATTCTTTGTTTCTCCGCATTTTATCGGTCAGTTCATTGCCAACAATGCTCGTTTCAGCACTCTTTTCGAAGCTCTATTCAATTAGTGCGCTCACTTTGGGCACTACTTTTTTTTTTTTTTTTTAAATCAAAACTCCGACTTTAAAAGGTTGCGTGCCGGAAAGGGTTAAAAGGTATCCTACATCGCAATGTAACAGAAATTTTTAACAACAGCCCCTTATATACATCTGCTGGATGCGCAGTTCCGATGCGCTGGAGATCACATTATTCCTTTATTGGACACAAAATTTTAATCATTTGCATATTTGGTCAAAACATTTATTCATACGGAATTTCAAAGCAATCGAATGATTCCTTCTTGTTGCATCGATTTAAAAAAAAAAAAAAAATTATATACAGTGCATATATCTAAGTCGTTTCTGAAGTGAATTTATAAATATCTTCAACACATTCAACTGTTAATTAATCTGGAAAAAAATATTACTTACTGTGCAATGCTACAAGTTTAAAATAAAAATCTTAATTTTCAACACAAAGAGCTTATTAAACAAATATTTTCATTTTATTGGTAAAGAGAATCTCGATTTAACTCATCAATCCATTAAATTATTGCTTCAATTTACTGATATAAGAATGATTTCAGTTTACCGTTTCCATTTTTCATATCTTGATACATAACATTAAATGATGCATGTTACATTTGATTATGTTATGCTATTAGAACATTAACCATCCTAACAGTTTAACAAAATTTAAAGTTTAAACGGAATTGCAAGTCAACATCGTATAAGATCTTTATTTAACTTTCAAATTAAAACTATACATTGCTTAATGAACTGAGTGATTTAAAACAATACAGAATAAAGTGCCAAATTCAGATGTCCAAGAATGACATAAATATCCCGACAACCAGCCAATATATATAAAATTAAGAATCCTCCCTCTCCACTAGGAAGTCTAGGAATGGTTAGTATAATACTAAATAAAAGGAAGCAAGTGTGCCATAAATACAATTTTTATCCAGACTAAGATGCCTGCAAGTCACTTTCAAACACCTGCTGGCTATGGAATCATACCGCAGTCAGTGACAACTATTGTTACAAATTTTGAACATAGACAAATAATTTTAGTGATTTTTTTTTTTTTTTTTTTTAAATATATAAAGTAATATGAAAATCTAGAGGAAAGATGCTCTGCTGGCAACGATTTTAGCAACTAATTTTGGCTGCCAAATTTGCCGAGAAATTTCCAAAATTAGCCAAACTTGGTGATCATTTTGGTTTTGGTCCCTTTATTTCCATAATACTTATTATAATTGAATAAATGTAATTGGTCACTACATTAGCTGTAACCGCATCTGGCCCTCGTATACCTTTTCAGCAATTTTGAGAAGCAGAAAATGCTAGAAATATATCGACGGCTGGGTGAAAACTACTATAATATACTGTTAGTTCAGCGTGAGTTGAGTTCAGAGTACTGGGATATCTCCAGATCAGCTTTGCTCTTTAGATGCGCTTAGCATTGCATTGTATTCAACGTTCTTAGTAGTTTGAAGTGTAACTACTGATTGCATTCGATGATACTGAGAACATCTGTGTGAGTATTTCTGTGGAAAGTTCCAGAACGCTGAGGTGTTTCTTTTAATAAAAGATATTTTATCAAGCTATCATCGGACCTGTGTGTTTCAATCTATTATGATAACGCACGCAACATTTTTTTTTTTTGGGTGTGTGTGTGTGTGTGTCAGAAGTGGGATTGAATGCCAGTGACAAGAGCGATTGTTGAGCAATTAAGACAGCTGGTGGCAGCCTTTGCAGCATTCAAAGAAGACATGAAAGCTGGCCAAAAATCTGTTAAAGAAGAGATGAAAACTTTACAATATTAGATTGTACAGTATTACCATTTCTTGCTTTCAAGTCGCTTTGTTAATAAAAAAAATTCATTAAACTTGTACAAAATATGAAATAAACAAAAAAATTCAAAATTTGGGCTTTAAGGTGCACAAATTTGGGTAGAAGGCTACGTGATTGAAAATTTGATGGTTCTAGGTGTGTCATTTTTCCACAATAAGTGGAACATACATATAGACATACAGATCCTTCATTATTTAATTTTATGAAATAATACACGGAGATAATATTTGGTAGTAATACTTTGAAAAGTTAATCGGACACAAATCGGATATGGAGAAATATTAGCACCGAGATTAATAGCACCTATGGCACTAAAAATCCCTCCTTCTGCTTACAAAGTCTAGTTAGTATAATATACTCAATAACAGGAAGTGGGGTGCCATAAAAAGATTTTTCTGTGAACTAACTGAGATTCCTGCATGTCACTTTCAGACACCTGCTGGCTAGGAAATTGCACCATGACCAATGACAATATACTGATTGACGTTGCATTGATGACGATCAGGATCGCATTTTCAGCCCTTGAGTGGTTGTGGGAGGGAAGCAGTTTTCTATCTGACTTGAACGATAAATGAAGCCCAATTGTTGCCATGTCTACATGTGATCTTATAGATTAAAAGTGATGATCTAAAATTCAGAAATTCAAAAATTCCCGACGATTTCGGATCTCGGAGTTTATGCTGTAATTACTATCAGAAAGCAGTAAAAACATACACTCAGATATTAGAATAATTAATTAAAAATATTTAACTAACTTACCAATTTCAGAAGCTTTTTCAACTAAACACACTCTAACATCCTTTCCCTTTTCATTTACTAACTGTTTTAACCTGATGGCTGCTGTCATACCAGCAGGACCTCCACCCACAATAACAACATCTGTTTCATCACTCACCCTCTCCATAGAAATACCTGAAATAGAATATAGATAAAAAATTTGCAATGAGAGAAAGATTTGAATGGAGCATTTAATATTAAATTTAACAAGAAAATGTTAAATGTATTACATCTTTTCCATCAGCAAAAATCAGTCTGTTAAAGAATGTATAAGATAAAAATGGCACACACAACGAATAACTTTATCACAGTTTTAATTCGGAATCCTAATTTGGAAATTTACAGTTATTTAAATTTTTTTCTAATATTTGTAAGTAAATTTGTTGTAGTCTGTTACTCTCTTTGCAAGGTAAAGCATATCAGTGTCAAAAATTCTTTATCTTTTCAAAAGAATCTTTTGAAAATAAGCAAGTAAGTAATGCATTCTGCTCACATCAAAGTCAAGATGACAACTCGGATGAAACCTACTGCTCTAAGAATCAGTGGCATAGCTATAGATAGGCAAGATTAGGTAATGCTTAAGAGCCCTTTACTTTTTTATTTTTGAAGATTCAAAAAGTAATAAGTTTTTCCCGCCAAAATTCATCTTTTATATTTACATATATAAATTTAAAATTTTATGAATAAATCATGTTGTTAATTATAAACAACAGTTACATCTTATATTTGAATAATATAAAAATTATAAATAAAATTGAATGGCACTGTAGCCACTTTTTTTGGGTGTGTGTGTGTGTGTGTGTGTGTTTGTTGTTATTAATTCCAGTGCTGTATAATGCATTCTTACATGGATTTCTTTGTCTGCAGTCTCTTTGCCATCAAATGTGCATGCACAATCTAACCAAAACTAGCCAGTTTTGTATGTGATGATCATTTTGTACTTGTTTTTATGGTGTTTTTTATATTGCAGCATGAGAAGGTAATAAAGCATAGCAAAACAAATTGCTATCACAAACCATATAGGCTTGTTTTAGCTAGATTTTTCACAGGCATTTGATGAAAGGGTCAATCAGAACAGCTAAGTGGTTATGTCCCATAGTATGTTGTGAGCTAGTATATTCAGTTCTGTAAACTCTTAAGAACTGCTTTATTAGTTGTTGGTTGCTAATAAAATTTGAAGTAAGAAATATCAAAATATTTATAATGATTGATAAAATACGGCACATATTATTAGTCAAAAAGAGCAAGAAAAACAAAGGAGGGGAACCAAAAACAAAAAGAAAGCAAAAATGTCACAAAATTAAACAACTTTATTATGAAAACATCATACTCTGTAAAAGATTCTTCAGTACATATTGTCTATGCCAGTAAGGCTAAACAATCTGAACAAGAAAATATATTATTGACTGGTGTGGCTTCTACTAGAAAAACTTACAATATAAATACAAAAGAAAGAGATATGTGCCCATCAGCAGACATAAGTAATTATATACTCGTAGTTAAAAACATTACTGATAATATGAGATTCCTAATTAGTTGTGACGATAATGAAGAAAAACCTATGGGTCTATTTTCAAAACACACTAAAGAAGAAAACAGGCATTTTAGTACAGCATATTAGATATCGATGATGAAGTACAGCCAAGTGCCATGACATTAGTTATGTTACCATAAATGATGCTACATATTTCAAACCTTGTCGGTCGTTTTTTAACTCTGATACTAGTTGGTGTTCAAGTATTAGAGAATGGAAAAATTCAACGGTATGAACTAAAACCCACAATTCTTGAAAATCACATGTGTAAGCAAGCATGAAAAGTATGACACATGGAAACAGTTTTCGGAAGGCTATTTAACATTAAACTTACATTATGAAAAATGGGTTAGCTTTTCATGGGCATAGTGAAGATTACTAGTTATAATGGCAATTTTTATTGCAGATTAAATTATGAAGTAAATATGACAATGTTATGAAACAAGTTTTGGAAATACCAGTAAGAGGTGCACAATATTTGAGCCATACCATACAAAATAAATTAATTCAATGTGCTGGTCATAATTTAAAAAAAAATTTGATGAACCAAATCAATGCATCTTCCTTTTATTCTTTATTATTAGACACTACTCAAGATATATCGAAAAAGTATTAATCAGCATTATTTTAAGATATGTTCATATTGAAATAGATGATAATTTAAAACTCCTAAATTTTATAATTCAAGAACATTTCTCAGATTTTATGCTACAAAAGATAATTCTTCTGAAGGACTGAAAGAATTCAGTCCCTTCACAGAACTATCTCATTCTCAATTTCTTAACGAAAACGAAATTTCAATTAAAAAGAATTATGAGTTAATGATATGACAGTGCTTATGTAATGAATAATAGTGCTAATGTTATGACAGGTGCTTATGTTATGTGTCAATAATGATCTCCAGCAAAAAATATAAACTATTCAGCAAATGCAGAATGTATCAACTGTTCATCGCAAAATTTAAACCTCGCCAATGATGATGCTGTAAGTGGCTGTAAAGAAATTATACCATTTTTTGATGTATTATAAGATATATATTTATTCTGAGGAAAAATTATAAATTTATAAAGTATTATGGGAATCGTTAACATATTTTACAGCTGAATCAGACATAGCTTTGAATAAAATTAAACCCATCTCATAGGTCAAGTAGGATTATGTCACTAAATGCAGTAAAATTACATTACATTGACATTTAAAAAATTTAAACTGAGATCCACCTTAAAAACAATAAAAAATATAAAGGATATATATGCAGATATAAAGGAAAATAGCAACATTTCGTTGAAGCTATTGTTATTTCTATACATATGCATAAAGTATTAAATAAAATAAATTATGTTTAAAATATATTACAAAAATTAATGTATGTCTAGATGGAGCTACGCAATGCTTAAATAATGCCCGCATAAATACAAATAAACTATGAAATGAATTTAAACTTATTTTAGCAGAATCTAAACAAATGATGGAAAATACGCTATTACTTCATAATTTCTAACCAAAACATAAAATAAGACAAATGATTTTGACGAGTTTTCAATACATCATAAATTTCAATCCAGTGAAAAATATTTTAAAATGAATATAGTATTTTACTACATTTTAGACACAAATAAATTATTAATTTATTGGAATGACAAATATGAGAGATCGATTTGGTTTTTTGGAACCTCATTATATAACCCACTTTAAGGAAACTAAACTACTACAAAAGTGTGACAATTTATTAGATATTTATTCTGAAATATTGTCGCCAGAATTTACAATTTATAAAGGCATCACAGTTGTATCAAGATGACCTTGATGAAAATATGACCATTAAAAAATTTGGGAACTTGGTTTTAAAAAATATCATTTAAAAAATATCATTCTGTTAAATGTATACAGTTTCCTTACTTTTTTAAACAATTCCTTAACTTTTGCCATATTTAAAAAGATCATTTTCAAAGCTAAAAATTACCAAAGATTAGCGAAGTATGACTTGATAAATACGGCTAAACCATTCTTGCCATCAAGGGCAAAGAGGCAAGAAAAACGGGCCTGAAAAATATAAATTCTTTTTCCTCAACAAAAACTTGCAAGCAACCATTCTAAGCCATTTATTATTGCGAATGTAACTTGATTAGCACTTTTTTCCAGTTAGTTATGTTTATTAAGAATGTTTCTGAGTCATTTTATCGTTAATAAATTTTGTTTGTTATAAAAATAGTCTTGATTTTTGCGAAAACATTAAATAAAACTTTATTATTTTATTAATATGGATTTTCAATTCATAACTATCTACATTAATATGACATTTAGTATATATATATATATATATTTATCTAATAAAGCAGACTTAGATGTAATGATGTAGATAAGTTAATGGTTGGTACAGATGTAGAAATATCGCATTTTGCAGATGTTGATTCATAATGAATAGCAAACTTGGTAGCCAAGGCGGATTAAATATTCATTTTTATTTCAGTTGACATTTGTGACCACAATTCCCTTGGCACTCTAACGGTGCCTATTTCCAGAATGCAATAGGAAGAAAGTGACATGGCAGCATCTTAACGGTAATAGAGCTAGAAGTAAAGTGTGTAGTTATCTAATATAGAAGCTTACTATGAGAAAGGTTTCGGTTTTCAAAATTTTCAGTTCCCAATTAGCTACGTTGTCATTGTTATGTAAAAGTCATATGATATGGATTAAACTAGAAATGATGCAGTCCAGAAAAACTTACAAATAATTGCTATATTCAAAACAAATAGGGAAAATACCCAAATTATAATGAAAAATTAAAGGGCTATTACTAATTCAAGTCACACCTTTGATTTACATATTTTTTATCTTACAAATGCTTCCTACTTCAAAGAGAAAAAGAATTTTTAAGAGAATAAAATGATGAAGCATTAACAAATGAAGAGAAACATAATCTGAAATATATAAAAAAATTTTGACTTAAGTAATTATTTAAATAACTGCAAAATATAAACCTTGATAATAATTTCAGAAGCCTAGTAAAATTTTGAGTCCAAAGTCTTTACGTTTTAGAATCCATATGTAATACTATAATACATAATCCAAACATAATCATATTTGTTCATGGAAGGCCTTTCAAAACTTTTCGCACAATACCACAAATGTACAAATTTTATACAGCCATTACTTAATTTTGAATATTCACAACAAATTTCAAAATTTTATAACATGCATATAAATATAGTAACATAGCAATTATTCTAGCATATAATGCACACCTATAATTTCAGATTACATCTTTTCTACAAGCAATAAGGAGAACAGTATGTGTAAGGGGAAAATGCTTGAGGGAGTAAATAATTATGCAAAGAGGTAGGTTGTATTCAATGTAGCTGTCCAAAAGAATGTTATTTTAGGGTTTTGAGATAAAGGGGACATAATTTGGGGTAAGAATACTCTTCCGACATGAATGAATTCGCAAAATTAGGAGTGATTTTTTTTTTTTTGTTTCCGTAGTCATTTGAAGGCATGATTTTGAAGAAAACATTGAAGGGTTTAGCACATTGTGTCTGCTTTAGTTAAAATACAGTTGATTTAGTGGAAGTCTGTCACTTGGTTTAGTATAGTCCTTTTA